CCTCTTGGGGTGTGCACTGGAATCACCTATATTCTTGTTGCATCATCATAGGGTGGAAAAGGACAAACTGCCTTCCTAGTTTTCTATAAACACAGCAGTTCTGTTATCTTGGGCGACACTCCAGGTTTCATCCAAAATTTAACTAGTTCTCACACAACCCACTTTGGGACACTGACATTAAAGGCGACAGGACTTTAACATAGTTAGTTCAAAGGAGAACAATATTCAGTCCCTATCCACGATGATCAACTAGAATTGACTGAGAAAGAACTAGTAATATTTTCATATACTCATGGTAATAATAGCTAGAGCTAAGATAACTCCACGAGAATTCATCCAAAGTGTACAACATCCCGCAATTCTAACTTAAATGTAAGTGACTATCTTTATTTACTTTACCACTTACTACTCCAAAATACATATATATGTCAATATAATTATATAACATAATAATAGAGAAATATGTACATATATATGTCCCACATTATATGCATAGAATTTTAACTTGACTTTGACCTCGAGTATCTTTACTCACTTTATTACTTACAAGTATAAAGTATATATGTAAATATGAATATGAATATATATTATATAGAAAAAACTAAATATTAAAAATATATGACTTTGTCATATCACTTTTTATAAAGGTATTTGTGCCAAAGTATTACATTGCAATCAATTGTAACAGCTAATCATATCAAAATGTAAGAAGTATATGTAAAAAATGAAAGAAAAATATTTGCTAACAATATGACAGTCTAAATTAGCACTGTCAGTTTTTATGAACGTTTGTGTACTCTTCCCACATTATCTATCACAGATACTTCACACCGGTAACTAAATCTTCCAGAGAGGATTAACTTAAACATTGAGCCTCATGATAAATAGAAGGAAAAGGCTTGTGTGCTTCTCTGACAAACACAACGTGTTCTAAATTCACAACTTTGGGTTTTTTTTGTTTTTGTTTTTGTTTGTTTTTCTTCCAGTACCAGGAATCAAACTCATGACCTTACACTTGCCAGGCAGGTGCTGTGTCGCTGAGCTAAATCACCAACACCCAAATTCACAACTTTGTTTTCTAGCTTTCCCACATAATATCAAAGCAGAGATCAAGAGCTATTTTCCGGATATCTGCAAATGAGCAATACTCAAGAATTTGCAGGGATGCAATATTTAGAAGAAACTCGTTCGTTCATGTGAAAAGTGCCAAGATGGGGACTTTGAAAACTACTGATTGGAAAAGCAAATAGAGCAATACAGGGGTTAAGGCAGAGTTTTCCTTTCACTGCCTGAGGTCTTAGCAGACCCAGGCTACAAGTCAGTCTAATCCTGCAAGGAGCCCCCTTAACTGTGGTTCTGCCCAATGACGAGGAGGGGTCAGAGGGCGGGACCAAAAGCTCTGCACCCCGCTCTGTCCAATCACGTAAGAGCCTGAGGGATCCCTGCACCCCAGCACAGAGGGGGCGCCAGAGAAGTTGCCTGTGCAGCCCACCTCTCAGGTCCATAAGTAGCACAGGCGGAAGGACTCACTTCTTTCTGCGGACCTCAGCAAGTGAGGGGCTGTGCGCACTGCTGCCAGCTCTGCAAAAGGCCGCGAAGGGACCCAGGCTCCGGCCGAGTCAGCTAAGGACCTCTACTGAGAGGGAGGACACCCCGCTTCCGAAGAGGGTGTCCAGCCCAGCCTCACAAAGCCTCCGCTTTGCTCTCAGGTGGAGAGGCGCCCAAGCGCACAGCTTGGCTGAGGTGGGCTTGTATTTTCATTCTGGGGCCTTCAGACTCTGAGGGGTGAACGGCAGTGGATATTTTGGTGCAAGAAATGGAGAATGAGCCAAGGGTACAGGCAAAGACCACGTAACAGAGGCCCAGGGCGACCGTTTGGGTGTCTGAGCCGTGCGCTGAAAATGGACGGCAGGCCTTGAGCCCGGGCTCACGTGCGCGGGGTGGGGGGGGAAGGAGGGCCCTGCAGAGGGGGGAGGGACCGGGTCCTCACAGGAGGGCTGTTCCCGTGTGCACGATACCCATGGGAGAACACCAAGTCAGGGCGCAGGAGTCACGGATGCCAAAAGATTGACCTGGCACCGCTTGTCCCTCTCCCATTTCTAGTGGACGCCATCGAGAAGAGCAGTTTATTTTTTTTTCTTTTTTTTTCTTTTAATTTTAAAGAGGAAAAAAAGCTCCATGAAAGAGAAAAAAGCCCTCAAAACAATAAAAAGGATATATAATTTCAAAACAAGATGGGAGGACTCAGCATATACCTCAATGCCAGAGGCGCTTGCCTGGCAAGTGCAAGGTCCTGGGATTGATTTCCTGCTGCCAAACACACACACACACACACACACACACACACACACACACAAATAAACAAATGAAAACAGGATGGTACGAAATGAAAAATGGTGGTTGTTCACATACTCTGAAAAGAGTTTTCAAAACAAGATGGTAGGGCTGGGGATATAGCTCAGCCCCAGAAGTGCCTCCCTGGCAAGTGCAAGGTCCTGTGAGGTTCGATTTCTGGTATGAAAAAACAAACACACAGACAAACAAATGAAAACCCATGAGCCAGGTCGCACGTGCGCAGGGGGAGTGGAGGGGCCCTGCAGAGGCGGGAGGGACCGGGTCCACACGGGATGGCTGATCACGTGTGCACGATACCCACAGGAGAATACCAAGTCAGGGCGCAGGGGTCACGGATGCCACAACATTGACCTGGCACTGCTTGTCCCTCTCCCATTTCTAGTGTAAGCCATCGAGAAGAGCAGGCTATTTTCTTTTTCTTTTTTTTTTTCTTTTAATTTTAATGAAAAAAACCCAGTTACATAAAAAGAGAAAAAAAAAAAGCCCTCAAAACAATGAAAAGGATATATAATTTCAAAACAAGATGATAGGGCTGGGCATACACCTCAATGCCAGAGGCGCCTGCCAGCCAAGTGCAAGGTCCTGAGTTCAATTCCTGGTAAAAAAAAAAAAAAAAAGCACACACACAAATGAAAACAAGATGGTAGGAAAAGAACAATGGTTGTTGTTTACCGTACTCTGAAAAGAGTTTTCAAAACAAGATGGTAGGGCTGGGGATATAGCTCAGCACGAGAATTGCCTGCCTGGCAAGTGTAAGGTCCTGAGTTCGAGTCCTGATATGAAAAAAGAAATAAACACACAAGCAAATGAAAACCTGTGAGCCTGGTCTCCCATG